TTTGTCCAATCTTGATTTGGCCTAAAAGCCTACCAGACTTGGGAAATCTTGATTTGGCCTAAAAGCCTACCAGACTTGGGAATAATCTCTGTTAGATTAGAAGGAAGAGTACAGAAACATTGTGAAGTTGGTATTTTACTAGTGGATTTCAAAGTACAGAAAAGGCCTATATTTGTCCCTGTACTATTAGACATTAGTTATATGAATCCTCTGCTATACTATTCAACACTTTCTACCCCTACCGTTAACCATTTAAGGCCTCATTTGTTTGTATTTAATGGAGGTTTGAATTTTAATCATTCAGATCTCAAACATTAAGTGCGTTTGTTTTCAAAGTCTGAATCTTAATTATTCAGATTTTAATCGTTAAGTGTGTTTGTTTTTTTTACTTCACAACCACTTAATGGGTCTGAATAGGTCTGAATAGGTCTGTATCATTAAGATCTATAACATAGACTTAATTTCATTAAGATGCTATCATCCATATTCATTATTAACTGCCGCCACCGCCTGCTATTATCAACTACCACCATGCCACCCACCACCACTATCATCCTCAATCATAGCCGCCACCATTGTCGACTACCACCACCTACCATCCACACCACTCCCACCACCATCATTAACGGCAACCAACACTCATTCACCTCAACTACCACAACTGACCACCCCATCACCATCAACACTATAACTGTCACTACCCATCATTACAAACTACCACCACCCACCACCATCTTTCTCAATCACAACAACCACCACCACCACCATCCTCAATCATAATAGTTACCACTACCAATCACCACTAGCTACTACCCTAAACTACCACTAACCACCGCTTTTAGTCGGCATTCACAAGCACTACCGATAGCCATCACCACCAGCAACTATCATATTTTAAAAAGTTATATATTTAGTGATGTAATATTAGATTAATTAGTATTTTATTTGAATTTTATGTTTATTAATTTTCAAATAAACGTAAATTTTATACATTCAGATGTTAAAAATCAAACATTCTTAATCATTTAGTATTCAGATCTTAATACACATCTTGGCATTCAGATGTGTATTCAGATTCAGATGTCTTAATCTTAATACACATTTTGATATTAAGATGTGTATTCAGATTCAGACGTCTTAATCTTTTAAAAAAAACAAACGAGGCCTAAACATATTTACCCTCTAACCTAATGGACCCATTCCTCCACACACGTGGCTGCATTTTAAAACCCCAACCTATACATATAAGGATTTAGAGGGTGTTTGGCTAAACTTGTAAGCCGGTCAAACTGGCTTATAAACACCTTTTGATTTATTTACGCGTTTGGTAAATATCCAAAGTGCTTATAAGTCAAGTGCTTATAAGCTAATATTAGTCATAAGTCATAAGTTGGTCACCTCCAACTTATGGCCTTTTAGCTTATAAGCATTTTTAGTTTGACCAAAATTTTTACTAGTTTATCCTTAATAATATTTTCTAATTCACAAAATATTTTTCCCAAAATAAATTTTCTAACTTTCTTTTCATTCCATATTCATTGTTCATCTTTTTCTTTACAAATAAACTTTTTAATTTATAATCTTTTGTAAAGTTTTTAAGAATATTTTAGTCATTATAATAAAAAAATAATTTATCAACACTTTTTTACCAAACACATCAACGACTTGTTTCAGCACGTCTATCCAAACACGTAAATGCTTATTTAAAATATCAGTTTTAGCGCTTAAAATGTTTTTCAGCAATTCGAGCTTATATCTATTTACAATTAGCTAATCCAAACGGGCTCTTAGAAATGCCATGGCAACCCTTCAAGCTTCAAGTTACTTGAGCTCATTTTGTTTTACTTCCTCATCGTCATCTTTCCAAAAAGAAAACATTACATCAAAGATCACTGACGAGAACCCCACAAGTAGAGACAACACAAATAAACACCTCTTTTGGTTTTGATGAGAATGGATCTGAGGAGTACATCAGAGAATTTGGAATTGTGAATTTATCTTTTATTATGTCTTATGGAGTGACTGAGAATATATGGTGATGATGAAACTTAAAGGACATCATCTGTGGAGGAACTCGAAATTCGAGTAAAGCTCTGTAAAGGTTGCTCTAGGTGAGCACCCTCCACTTTCAACCAAGAGGTTGCGAGTTCGAGTCATCCCAAGCGCAATTTGAAAAGTTTTTGGAGGGAGGGAGCCGAGAGTCTATTGGAGTCACCCCAAGCGTAATGTGGAGAGTTCTTGGAGGGAGGAAGCCGAGAGCCTATTGGAGTCACCCAAGCGCAATGTAAAGAATTCTTGAAGGGAGGGAGCCGAGGGTCTATTGGAAACTGTATCTCTATTCCAGAGTAGGGTAAGAGTTGTTGTTGCTGTTGTTGGTTCCAAGGAATAGTGCAAAGAAGAAGAAACTTTAATTAATTTCCAATAGAACCCAAAATATAGATACCCATGATTGTGTGTATCTTCTGTGAGCTTTGAATTATTTTTTTTTGTTTTAAAGTGAGTTGTGATTTTTTTTTTCAAGTGACGTGTGAATTGTAGAGTATGTATTGGTGAGGAAATTTTGAATTTTTTTTCAACAAAATCCAATCGGCCCTAGGTCTTTTGCGGGTGTCGGAATTGATGGAGGTAACCGGAGACTAGCAGGAAAAAATTAAGGGAAGGGGTGACAAGATTTTCGCTGGTTCTTATCTGCCGGAAATCGAGAAGCTTTACGCAATCAAGGAGGCGATAGAGTGGAGATGCATAGGAATATTGGAGAACAAGAAGCCAATGGAGTAGTATGCTTTTGACATCCATTAATGGCATAACTCTGCAGTTGGTACCCTGTATTAGGGATTGAAAAAGAGAAATATGGGTTGGGGTTTTAAAATGCAACCACGCATAGGGATGAATGGGTCCGTTACATTACATATAACATATAAATATGTTATATGGGTAACGGTAGGGTAGAAAGCGTCAAATAGTATTACGGGGGTTTATATAACTAATACTCCTATCTAATAGTACAGGAACGGATATAGACCTTTTCCGTTCAAAGTAATCATGGTCTAATGAAAGTAACTTTAGATAAACAAACCAATAAATATTTGAAGGGCTTGTGGCCTTTGAGTGAGTGGCACACCTCTTTGGTATTATATTCTAATATATTTTGGGGTAACCTTATTGTCGAAAGCACACTTCACTCAATTTTAATTACTATTAAGAAATATATCCTACGTGGGTTCGAGCCGTGAAAGCGTCGTACGTGCATTAAGTTAAACTGTTTACATCAGATCTTCTGGGATGCAATCCTTCTTCGGACCTTTCATGAATGCGGGATACTTTGTGCACTGAGCTATACTTTAAATATTTCCTATATATCTGTTCAAGCAATTTTAGTGCTTTCCTATACATCAATACATCCTCACAAGCTCCTTTTCCCAAGTTTAATTGGACTTTTAAAAATTCACACAAACTCAAATGTATTAATGTGTTATTTTACTTTTTCACGCAAAAATAACGTTGAAATTTGTGCTACATAAATAAAAAAAATATTATTTTGTTTGTTGAAAAAGAAAGTACTTTTTCTACAACATGAAAAAATACTCATTTTGTTATGAGAGAAAATACTTTTTCTACATCTTGAAAAGAAAATAATCACTTTGTTGAAATAACAGAAAATATTTTTTACTATATCATTTTGTTGAAATAAAAAAAAAATTCTACATCATAAAAAGAAAGTACTTTTTTGGTTTAAATGAAAGAAAATACTTTTTTACATCATGAAAAGAAAATACTCATTTTGTTGAAATAAAAAATAATAATTTTTCTACATCATGAGAAAGTACTTTTTTTTATTAAAATAAAAGAAAATACTTTTTTACATCATAAAAGAAAATACTCATTTTGTTGAAATGAAGAAAATACTTTTTACTATCATTTTGTTGAAATGAAAGAAAATAATTTTTTCATACCATGAAAAAAAATTACTCACTTTGTTGAAATGAAAGAAAATACTTTTTCTGCATCATGAAAAGAAAGAATTCTTTTTGTTAAAATGAATGAAAATATTTTTTTATATTATGAAAAAAATAATACTTATTTTGTTGAAATTAAAAAGAAAGTACTTACTCTGCAACATGAAAATAAAGTACTTTTAATAATATTTCTATTTAGGGCAGGGTTGGAGGAGGGGTGTGTAGGTATGGTGGGGTAGGGTAGGAGGTTAGTGGGGATGGGGAATAGGACGAGGAAGGTTGAAGAAGAGTTTTGGAAAATATTTTCACTTCTTTTGATAGGGAAAAATATTTTTCTCTAATTAAAAAAAAATGAGTTCACGAGAAAAATATTTTTCAAAATATTTAATCCAACTAAACATGAGAAAATTAAAAAATTTCCTTCTTGCCAAACACAATCTCAGAAATTTAATGATATGTACCACCGAATTTGGATGAGATGAAAGCAAATAGAAATTGACAACATAGGAAGAAGATAAAAGCGATTTGTACAAGAAGGTATAAATGTGAAATTTTTTAATTTGTGCCTTCATACAAGTGATACTAGTTGTGTGAAGTCTCTTTTTTGGGGTGAAATTCAAAAATAGTCAGATTTATAAGTGGTAATTGAAAAATAGTAACAATTTCAAAAATAATTAAAATTTACCCATTTTTCATGTAAAGATAAATTTGAACAAAAACACTGTTCAAAATCAGAAAAATATTCCAGCTTAATATACTGGTCCAATATAATATGTTGTAAGTTCATACGCAAGTGCTCCAATCTCTAGTATATTATGCTGGAACTTTCCGTGTGTTGGAAATCTAGAAAAAGTGGCTATTTTTAATGACTTTGCAAACGCTAGCTATTTTTTAATTATCAGTTCGAAAACTAGGTAGCCCGTGCTATTTTCGCCTTTTTTTTGTCTCATAATTTTGTGGATCCAAAAAAGTAAGATTTTGAGTCCACAAATTTGTGAGACAAAAAGAAGCCTGGATTAGAGTTGTGTGAGGGTTACAGTTGTGTCACACAACTAATGTCGCTTGTCTGAGGGCTAGAGTTGAGTGCCGCTGCGGCTGCCGCGAAGAAGCTCTGGATTTTGAGCGAGAAGTGGAGGCGACAAGGTTAAAGGAAGAGGAAAGGCTGCAGAAGAGACTAGAAGATTTCTTCAGAGATGATGATTTAGAAGAGGTCGACCCTGATTTTCTTAAGGCACTCAAAGTATCTGCTTAATCAAGGGAGTCTCTATGTTTGCTTATAGCTACTTGTTTTCATGTTTAGAAATATCTCTGTCTGTTGCTTTTCTTTTAACTTCTTCTCTCTGTCCTTTTTCTTAATCTGTAGCTAGTTCTTCATATTCCGTTGCTTCTTATTATTTTCTCAAGTTATCCTTGTCTCCATTGTGGTCTGCTATCTGTCATAAAGTTATAGATGAGAGAATTAGAGATAGGCAAACCAATCAAAAAAAAAAACGAAAAGAGAAAAGAATAAGAGGTATTAATTAGTACAGAATCATTTTCCCTTCCGATGGATTTCCCTTTTAATGTTTGATAGTGAGTTAAAGTTTGGGATTAAGTATGGATTCGCTAGGCTAGTTTCTACATCCAGAAACATCATAGCTGGAGAAACCTGGAACTTATTATGTTAACTAAATACCCACAAAATGGTAGAAAAGGGAGAAAACTGAACCAATATGCTTTGCCAAAGAAACAACAATCTCCTACCAGAACACTCAAAACCTCCAAGAGTATTACGATTAAAGGCAAATTGCCAGCAGTAGTAAATTGCAGTACTTAAAACTAGAGCAGAGAGGGCAGATATGAAGATGAAACAAGGCACTGTAAAAGGACCAAGTAAAAATTGGCAGCCAAAAAGAAGGGGAAATTAAATTCTGGAGAAAAAATGACAAGTTTTTCATACACGACTAAAGTTATAACCCTGTATCCTTCATGCCTCATCTCCTTTATAGAAGAGAGCAACACCTTATCCACCACATTTCTTTTCTTTTTGCAGAAAAAGAACAAACATGTGTGTATAAGCAATGGCACAGACAAGATCTAATATTACATAAGGCTGATTTATGAACTATAGACTATTAGACTGCATGCATAAGGGAAATGGATCAGAAGCTATAGTCAGATGAAGGAGTTCCCACCACAATATAGAGACTGCAAATCAAGGGGAAAAAAATATTCCCAGGTCCAAAACAATCTCTCGAATGTAAGGCAGCCAAGAATGTGCACAAGTAGAAAGAAAAAGAAATATTAAGACTCAAGACACATATCACTCTTCAATGCACTGGCGACTCAAAATAGGCAGAAGTCTCCAACTGGAGTTCAAAAGCAGAACTATCTGCCAAGTAGAAAGAAAAGATACTAAGAACCAGGAGCTTATTGGCAAATGAAGTCTTGCTGTATTGGTTTTGCACTCATTTGGATCTTGAAAACAGACACCAGAACCGTCCCCGCGAAATAGAAACACCAAAGCAGAACAAATTAGTGGACCCATATTGCTGAACCCTCCAAGAGTATCTAAACATGTCACCATCTAACAGGAAAACTAACTCTTCCACCAACGATATTTCCATGCAGAAGCATTCTCCCTCTTCAGAATGCTTTCTCAATTATGCACCAAAACTAGCAAGAGAGCCAATCATGTACCCAGAAAAGGACAAAGGAACAAAATAGCCTGCCAAAAGGTTAACAGCATTAATATAATTTAACACATTGTGCTTACTCTGTTTGAACTTTGAAATCATGTACCAAAACCTATGTGTTGCCATTTCAGTAAAGCATATGAAAACTTACGTGGGACAATATATTTTTGGTTATAGAATTAGCTAAACATAATTACATTCATCATTGTTTAAGAACTAACACTTTCCCTTTTTAATTTTTATTATAACTCACAATACATTTGTAATAACATTTATATCATTTAAAAAAAATATATTATTCATGACATGTATCACACGCGCATCGCGCGTATCCTTAAGACTAGTTACATGAAAAATGGATGATGTGGTGTTGAGGTTGAATTAAAGGCGTGTCTGAAGCTAGAGGCGCAGGTTTGATTCCTACTTGACTTGTGACTAAAAATCTTTTTTGATTTTTTCTTATTGCGTTCGAATAATTGTACACTTAAACTATCTACTTGATAGCAACTTTATACTATGTAGTTGCTAGCAACTTTATGTTAAAGGAAGTGAGCACCCACTACCTTAAAATTTTGGATCCGCCACCGGATAGAAAGAAGAGTGCAGACACATTATGAAGCTGGTTCCCGGTGGATTTTAAAGTCATTATGGCCTAAAGAAAATAACTTTAGATAAAAAAAATTAAATAAATAAATAAATGAAGGGCTTGTGGCCTTTGTGTGAGTGGCACACTTATATATGCATGCTTAACCTTAGTGTTGAAAGAACACTGCACCCAATTTTATTTACTAATAAGAATTAAGAAATATCTCCAATATATCTATTCAAGCAATTAGTGCTTTCCTATACAGCAATCCATCCTCACAAGCTCCTTTTCCAAAGGTCAAAAAGCCATCTGAATTCCCTAGATTTCAAAATTAGGCCATTTAGAAGTAAAACACGCACACACAATGCACAAAATATAAAAGAAGAAAAGAGAAAAGCAGTAGTCCAGTGATCCTTATGACTTTCAAATTTAAAGGCATTCTGTATATATAAGACATTTGCTCGAAGTTTTAGTGTAAGTAAGTGACCACGTGAGAATATAAGCAAACTGGTTTAAATCCCAGCGGTACAAATTAGCATGCAATATATGCCTAGTGTCACAACTCGCACTTTGGAGTTGTGATTTCGGCCAAGAACTGGTGAGAAAAGGCTCTTCTGATTGTCTGACGTAGAACTGTCTACTCGGACAACTTGGACTTTTTAATTTTAAGCATATATAAGGGGGTATAGGTGATGAAAGCTCCGACCTGCCTCCTCCATACGTGTTGTCACCAAGCCGTATCGAACGAGCTACCTTGGGAGCAACGTCAAGGGCCTACCTAGATGACTCAAAGGAGTGTCAAAGGTATCCATACGAGTTTGGGAACTCTATGGACGGCGCAACGCCTTCGGGCTAGCGTTGGGCATCAAAGTGGCGCTCGAGGCTCGATGTGTGGGACAGCCAGCCCCGCGGGCTGCCGAATGTTGGAACGAGACCTCCGTGCCGATTGGATACTTGACGCACCTGTCATAGGGGCATCATGTGTCGACTTGTGAGCATGGCTTGGGTTCAACCATGCAAGCAAGGGTCCGTTGGCCTAAAGGTGCAGTTGTGGGGCGACACTGCACTATTCGGGATAGAAGCGTGTCGCGAGGGCAATGTATGGGCATGGCACGAAAGACGCGCATGACAATGGCCAAGGGCTAAAGGTTGCCTTACTCGGGCAGGGCACGAGCTAGTCACGGATGCACTAGGCGAGTGTCAAGCTTGAGGATTGGGTTGTGCACACAGGAGCGATGCTCAATCTTGGGCGAAGTACAAGACATGTCCTAATCCAATCCCCCAGTGCGCGCATGGATTGTGATCCTAAGATAAAGTGCCACGACATGTCTAGGGCCAAGGGCCTAAACATCTTACGGGCGGCACAAGTTGGGACGAGCCTACGGGCGAGTCCCACCAACAGGCACAGGATCGTGCTTGGAATCCTGGGAAAGGAAACAGGCTGGCCTGCAGCGAGGAGAATTGCAGGCGCTGCACGGGCGAGCAGGTGCCGCTACCCAATGTAAGGATTTAGGCCTGTGACACTTGGTATCAGAGCTGATTAAGGCCATACTATGCCATGGCATAACGTCAAGGCAAAAGGTGGATATGGCGAGCGCATTTTGGATGTCAGTGCAGAGATCACGTCAAAGCAGAGATTGATGTTCATATGCCACCAGAGATCGAGAACCCGATACTAATGGTCGAAGAAAGAAATGGGTGATTCCATTGTCTTTCGAGAGTCTAAGGTGCTACTGAATGAGATGATATGCCGATGAGCCGGATGGTCAAGAGAAAGCCATGTTTTCCAGTTCGTGCAACCATATTGCGAAGAGTGGGAGCCATGGACTATAAACTTGGGCATGATCATAGCGGAGATCTTGCCAAGGATGCGTACAACGCATCAGTTGAGTGTCTTTCCTTCAGGATAGACTTGTGAGCTGCCTGAGGGCATTGCCAAGGTGAGGAAACGGATTCGAGGGTATAGCGAAGCTTCAGAATTAGGCAAATTTTCAAGTTCGAAGGTGTCATTCTGGAAAGAAGTACGTTGAATGATCGGGGACCGTTGAGAGTCCAGGTACGAGGCACACCGAACCGGGAAGACGTGCTAGCAGGACCAAGAGGGTACCTGTCTATAGGGCGAGTATTGAAGTACTACCGGGAGCATTGGCTACTTGCTGAGGAGGTGACAGTTGGAAAATAAAGAGTTTTGTTCGGGAATGCAGCGATGCTATGACTTTGGGAATGTAGTACTCACCAAAGGTCGTCCCAAGAGCTGGCCGAATGCCAAGTGGGACGACAGAGCTAAGATGTATCCTCCACATTGAGTATGGGAGGATCCCGCCTATGCAAGGGGTATATGGGCGAAGTTGCGAGTCCGGAAGCCAATACATCTTCAAGGTAGTGAGGGCAAGGAAAAGCTACGGGAGCTATGCCAGAGGCGTTTGAAGGCTACGTGAGCGATTGAGCTACTAGAGCCGCGCTAAAGAGCACATTGATGTGCTAACCTGTGAAGGGAAAGCTTCAGACCGACATAAAGGCCGTGAGGGTCATGGTGTGATTGACTAGTGTGGGTCAATCACAAAGTGAGACACCAGAGGGTGCAAGTGCGGAGGCACTTTCCAAGTGAACACCGGAAGGAGGTGAAGTGCAGAGGCACGCTTGGAAGATACTTGGGGGAGAAGTACATGGGGCACGACTCCTTTTGAGAAAGGACTTCGAGGAAGTCCAACCCACAGGACAAAGGGAGCTGAAATGGGCATACCTGAGGGGGCAGACTCCGGAATGTCTTAGGTCATGATGTGTCGTCGGGGACGATGACATTATGAGTGTGGGAGGATGTCACAACTCGCACTTTGGAGTTGTGATTTCGGCCAAGAACTGGTGAGAAAAGGCTCTTCTGATTGTCTGACGTAGAACTGTCTACTCGGGTAACTTGGGCTTTTTAATTTTAAGTATATATAAGGGGGTATAGGTAATGAAAGCTCCGACCTGCCTCCCCCATACGTGCTGCCACCAAGCCGTATCGAACGAGCTACCTTGGGGGCAACCTCAAGGGCCTACCTAGATGACTCAAAGGAGTGTCAAAGGTATCCATACGAGTTTGGGAACTCTATGGACGGCGCAATGCCTTCGGGCTAGCGTTGGGCATCAAAGTGGCGCTCGAGGCTCGATGTGTGGGACGGCCAGCCCCGCGGGCTGCCGAATGTTGGAACAAGACCTCTGTGCCGATTGGATACTTGACGCACCTGTCATAGGGGCATCATGTGTCGACTTGTGAGTATGGCTTGGGTTCAACCATGCAAGCAAGGGTCCGTTGGCCTAAAGGTGCAGTTGTGGGGCGACACTGCACTATTCGGGATGGAAGCGTGTCGCGAGGGCAATGTATGGGCATGGCACGAAAGACGCGCATGACAATGGCCAAGGGCTAAAGGTTGCCTTATTTGAGCGGGGCACGAGCTAGTCGCGGATGCACTAGGCGAGTGTCAAGCTTGAGGATTGGGCTGTGCACGCGGGAGCGATGCTCAGTCTTGGGCGAAGGACAAGACATGTCCTAAGCCAATCCCCCAGGGCGCGCATGGATTGTGATCCTAAGATGAAGCGCTACGACATGTCTAGGGCCAATGGCCTAGACATCTTACGGGCGACACAAGTTGGGGCGAGCCTACGGGCGAGTCCCACCAACAGGCACAGGATCGTACTTGGAATCCTGGGAAAGAAAACAGGCTGGCCTGCAGCGAGGGGAACTGCAGGCGCCGCACGGGCGAGCAGGTGCCGCTACCCAATGTAAGGATTTGGACCGTGACACTAGGCTCTGTAGAATACTGCATGACAATAATGTGTTTTCTCAAGCAAGACAGGGGAGAATGAACCTTTTTTTTTTCCTCTCTTTGATCTTTTCCTTCCATTTTTCTGGAGTCCTCTCATTTTCAGGGTATTGTCAAGAATAGCAGCTTTACCATTTAATATTGATAATCCAGAAAAAGAAGGAATGAATGATGCATTTTTCAGAAATAGTAAAACTAACGAATTAAATTATGGTGAGATGCATTCATTCTGAAAGATTGTACTGATTTCTGAATATAGAAATGCAAGACTTCAGAAAGCTGGCAATCAGCAACCACTATACAGAAATGAAGTGTATAGTTCCGTATAAAATATAACATGTTGCTACATGAGGCTCTTTCAAGAACATCTAAAATGTAACCAATACCACCCACAAGAAAAGGGTAAAATATAAAATAAAATTTGATAGAGTGACTACAGGATATTCTGTTATATGGGTAGGTGTTCTTTTAGTGGATTCTATAAAGATTTTGGCCTAAAGAAAGTAACTATCTTAAAACTCTGGATTTAAAAAATGAAGAGCTTTGTAGTCATCCTACTCTATAAATAACAAAGATTGAGTCTTCATTAAACACCCATCTTGAAAGAAAACAATCCTCCTTCTTTAGCTGACAGTTCCTCACAAATTATATAACTTTCTTAATGGCTGCTCAAAACCAAGTACAAATTACCATCCCTAAACAACATTATGACCAAAACCAAGCCCCTGAAGAGGATTTTGACTACTCTCAAAGAGCACAATGGCTTCGAGCAGCTATATTAGGAGCCAATGATGGATTAGTATCAGTTGCATCTTTGATGATGGGTGTTGGAGCTGTCCAAGAAAACGTTAAGACCATGATCCTTACAGGCTTTGCAGGGTTGTTTGCCGGTGCTTGTAGCATGGCTATAGGAGAGTTTGTTTCTGTGTACTCTCAACTAGACATAGAGTTAGCCCAAATGAAGAGAGAGAAAACAACAGGAGGAGGACAGAACCAAGAACATCAACATCAACATCAAGAAGAAGAAGGTAACAAGGAACAGCTGCCAAATCCATTTCAGGCAGCCGGAGCCTCGAGTATTGTATTTTCATTGGGTGCCATAGTACCAATTCTTGCTGCTGCATTTATAGCAGATCATAAGGTGAGGCTAGCTGTGATTGTGGCTGCAGTGAGCTTAGCATTGTTAGCATTTGGAGGAGTTGGTGCTTTTTTGGGCAGAAGTCCTATGGTCAAATCTTGTGCCAGAGTTTTAATTGGTGGTTGGATGGCTATGGCCATTACCTTTGGCCTCACTAGATTGATTGGCTCTATGGGCTTGGAAATGTGATGGGGACTCTATGTTCTGTTCCCTGTCCTAGCTAATTTAGTTTTATCTGCTCAAGAAATTGATGTTGCACGTCAAATAAATTTCCTTTTGTGTAATGACTCTGGAGTGAAATCTTAAGAATGTATTTATGATTTTATTACTGAAAGCATTAGCTACTCCACACAACCTTCAGGTTATTCATGATAAACTAGGCATCAACTGTCATAATCTAATATTTCAATGAACTAAACAATTATATGAATTTTCTGTAACTGCTTAACTTGTCTATGTTTACTTTAGCAATCAACCTTCTGCAACTGATCTTCTGTAACTGCTTCTACTAGTACCCAAAGTTCCAACAAATTCGTTAATAAGAATTAAGAAGATTCTTCTTGACCTGATAATGCTTATCCACCTACCGCAACACATAAAGCAACTCTGATCAAAAAATAATAAGATCGCATTAAAGCTAAAACCTCGATATTTCAGCTATCCACATAAATCAACTTTGAGCCAAGACCAATACTCCTATATTATTTAAGCACTTCAAATCTATTAAGTATGGATTTAGTTATATGCACCGACTGTAAAGATTTTGTATAATATCAGTGCAACGTAACCAGTAATAGCAGATCAATTATCATTTTTAACAGATTACCAATTTATACTTTATATTTACTTGTAGTTACCTTGTAAGTACCCGATTGTATACATATTTTTATGTCGTCTATGCATAGAGCTCAATCATAATCTATGCATAGAGCTCAATCATAAGTACATTTGTTCAAAAGCACTACAGTCCTAATTCCTAATATCGCAATGGCTTGAAGTCTGCAGCCTTCTTATGCCCCATAATCCAAAGTAGACTATAAATACTAATTGTTGTTTGTACCTGTGATGAAAAATCATATTATGGTTATTTAAGGACTTAAAGCACAATGCTAAAGACTACTCTTGTATGCAACGAGTTCTACACGACCTTCAAGCATATAAAATTTCAAACTCCTCTATTTTTACATTTCCAAAGGACCTCCACAGATCTCAATCTTGACATATAGTCTAACAATCCATGAGACCTAGGACACAGTGACGAAGCCAGAAAATTTAATAAGAGTGTTCAAAATTTCAACACTCTTAACTTGCTAGTGGTCTATGCCAGGGTGTTCAAAGTCTATTTGTGTCCCTTCTACGACAAATATCTATTTGACTGTCAAAGAATTAGTACTGACACATTATGAAGATGGGATTCGTTAGTGGATTTAAACTTTTATTTATGTCTAAAGACAGTAACTTCCACTTCATTCTGGATCAGAAAAGACAAGAAAATATTGAAGAGCTTGTGGCCTTTGTAGGAATGGCACACTTCTTGGTATACTCTAATATTTTGCTTTAACCTCTAGTACAGAAAGCACACAGCACCCAAAATTATATAATGCAAACAAATATTTCCATATCTATGTTCAAGGAAGTGCTTTCCTATACAGCAATGCATCCTCATTTGCTCCCTTTATTTTGCAAAGGTCAAAAAATCTATCTTAAGGCTTCTAGCTCCTAAAAATTAGGTCACCTAAAGTAAACACACACACACTCACAAAGAAAAAACAGTACTTGATTAATCCTTGTGACATCTTTCAATCTGTTATATGAGGTAGGTGTTATCTTATAGTGGATATATTTGGTCTAAATGAAGTAACTTTATTAAAACTATGGATTTAAAAAATGAAGAGCTTGTGGCCTTTATATGAATGGCACACTCTCTGGAATACTATAATCTTTGCCTTCTCAGCCTTAGTGTGGAGAGCACACTCTGCCCAATTTTAATATACCAAAGAAAGTATGTCCTGTGTCTCTATTCATGCATGCAAGTGCTTTCCTATACAGCATTCCATGTTCACAGGCCACATTCTAGGAATTGTCTCTGGAAATGAGGTTTGACCAGAAAGATGGCGAATCAATGGCAAATATGAAACTGCACATTCATTTGCAAAGTTAGAATTTGTTAATAAACAAATGCAAGATTTTAGCAAGCGTGCAATCAGCAAAAAGAGATAAAATCCATAACTGCATGATACCGGGCCTTGTGCTCACCACACTACTATTATTATATGGCACCACTTACTGTTCAGGCTGATTATCTATTAGTCATCCTGCTCTATATATAACCATCAGAGGGAAGATTGAATCTTCAGAAACAAAAAATCCTAAACAAGAAGTCATCCTTTCTTAAATAATTCCTTAAAACTTTCTTCATGGCTGCTCAAAACCATGTCCAACTTACTGTCCTTAAAGAACATGATAACCAGAACCAAAACGAAGTACCTGAAGAAGAATTTGACTACTCCCAAAGGGCACAATGGCTTAGAGCTGGTATATTAGGAGCCAATGATGGAGTGGTTACTACTGCATCTTTGATGATGGGTGTTGGAGCTGTCCAGAAAGACGTTAACGCCATGATCCTAATCGGCTTTGCAGCATTGTTTGCTGGTGCTTGTAGCATGGCTATAGGAGAGTTTGTTTCTGTGTACTCTCAACTGGACATAGAGCTAGCTCAAATTAAGAGAGAGAACACAATAAGAGGACAGAATCATGAAGAGCAAGGAGAAGAAGACAAGAAGGAAGGACTCCCAAATCCATTTCTGGCAGCCATAGCTTCAGCTGTTGCATTTTCATTGGGTGGAATAATACCAATTCTTGCAGCTGGATTTATATCTAACCATAAGGTCAGAATGGCTGTGGTGGTGGCTGCAGTGAGCGTGGCATTGTTTGTATTTGGAGGGGTTGGTGCTGTTCTTGGCAGAACTCCTGCAGTGAGGTCTTGTGCCAGAGTTTTAATTGGTGGTTGGATGGCTATGGCAATTACCTTTGGGCTTACCAAACTGATCGGCTCTGCTGGCATGGAGATGTGATTGAAACTTTATGTTCCTGTCTCTTTTCCTAGTTAGAGTCATCTGTTTAAGAAATGTCTGTACTGTTGGACTAAATCTCCTGGATAAGACTTGAATAAATGAAAGAAATCTTTGCCTTATGGTTCTGATATGAATGCTGAAGAATGAAATTTACGCGTTTTCTGAATTATGTATACTCAAGTCATATGTAGGACCTGAAAGACTAGCAATAACAGAAAACCTTACTCCTTTAATATGCTTGGCATCATTAAATCTTGTTGAATTTATTTTTTTTTGTAGCAGAGTTGCAGTTCAAGGTTTAAGTGACAAACTAAAGAAGAATTTTATCTGAAGAACCAAAAACTAACTTCTCAATGGAACCACAAGCATCTGTGACTAAGCAATGAGACATATCAACAATTAAAGTAAAATTGGCAAACATAACTTCTAATAAAGCATATGGATGATCACCGGACTCACTGACTGTCAGGGAAATGGATCTGAAACTACTGTCAGATAATGGAGTTTCCTGTACAAAAGGAGATGCAATACAACAACTACACCTCAATCTCAAGCAAGTTGGGGTCAGCTATATGAATTGTCACTGACCAAAATTGTTTCATGCAAACTGATCTCCCAGGTGCTTTCAAGAAAGGAGAGAGATGGGAGCCAAGCAAATGCGCCTGAAAAAATATAAGTTCCAAGATAGATATTTTGAAGAAGCACTTCCTTTAATTGATATTTCCCATATCTCTATTCAAGCAAACTGCACCCCAATTTTATCTACTACTAAGTATATTTCCTGTATATCTGTTCAAGCAAGGGCTTCCCTATACTGTTGCATCCTTACAAGCCCCTTTCTCCAAAGATCAAATAGTCATATGAATGCTTTAAGCTTTAAAACCTATGTCATTTTGTCCACTTATAAAAGGAGAGGAAGAAAAAAGAGCAGTCCCGGTAATCTATTGGTTTTGAAAGCATTGTCAGAATCATTTAAGACATTTGCAAGAAGGCTCTACTTCTTAGTTCAGAACATAACATTAATGTGTGACCATGAGAGGACAAGGAAATAAACTGGTTTAACCGCCAGTGGTACCAAATTAGCATGCAATATATGCCTAGGCATCTGTAGGATTTTGTATGACAAAATTTTGTTTTTTCAAGCAAGACTTGTGAAATTGGGAGCTAGTATGTATTTCCTTTATATATTTCTCTTTTCCTCCCATTTTGCACTCATTTAACGTGTTGTCAGAAGAAGCAACTTTTTACAATTAAGGGATTGATACTACAGAAAATGAAAGAATAAATGATGCATCTTTCGTGAAGAAATTAAAATATGGTTCGGGTATTGCAGACATGGTATTTGCTGCAGTTAGCATGGTTCTTTGCAGTTGCAGTGAAGTCTTCTGCAGGGCTGCTGACAGAAGTATTATCTTTGAGCTTGTTGCATTATCATGCTTATTAGTTTTGGGGAGTAGACTCATAAACTTATTCAAAGTTTTTACTGGCATTTTCAACTTTCTTTCAACTCCAACTTGCTTAGAAGTAAATATCAACTTTGCATTCACTTGGAATATTATACTGATTTTTGAATATACAAATGCAAGAATTTAGAAAGCAACCAAAGCTATCTGTATTATACTCCGTCATAACATAAAAGAAAGATGGCATATGAGGGTCTTACACGTTACAACAACATGTAAATTGTGTAACCAATACTACCAAGAAAAATAAAAGGAAGGGTAAAACATAAAAAAAGAAAAAAGGAAATTGATAGACTGAATGCAGGGATCTTTTAGTTGAGTTAAGGTGTTATCTTACAGTGGATATATTTGGTCTAAAGGAGGTAACTTTATTAAAACTATGGATTTAAAAAATGAAGAGCTTGTGGCCTTTATGTGAATGGCACACTCCCTGGAATACTATAATCTTTGCCTTCTCAGCCTTAGCGTGGAGAGCACACTCCACTCTATTTTATAGTGATTTCCTATACGGCATTCCATGTTCAGAAGTTCCTCTTTCCAGAAATCATGAAGCCATTTCATTCATAATCAGTAATGGAAATTAAAATACAGTACTTAGATGGCGTCTAGCTCTCAATCTCAGGTTTTGACTCTTAAAAGAGAACCATCATGTTAAAATACTACAAGATAAAAAGTACTATTTATTACCAATTATACTGGGAATTGTACTGCATATTTATTTTGCAAAGTTGGAGATGTGTGAATAAACAAATGAAAGGTTTTCCCAAGCATGCAATCAACAAACAAAAATAACAACCAAAACTGCCACCTAACCTTGTGCTCAGTGCTCACCACACTGCTATTTTTTTTATGGCACCACTTTCTTCTTAGACTGATTAATATTTAGTCATCCTCTCCTATATATAACCATCAGAGGGTAGACTGAGTCTTCAAACACAAGAAGTCCTCCAATTTCTCAAAAGACTTCTTTAGAAAATTTCTTCATGGCTGCTCAAAACCATGTGCAAATTGCCATCCCTAAAGAACACGACAACCAAAACCAAAACCAAGTCCCTGAAGAGGACTTTGACTACTCCCAAAGGGCTCAGTGGCTTCGAGCAGCTGTGTTAGGAGCCAATGACGGATTGGTTTCAACTGCATCTTTGATGATGGGTGTTGGAGCTGTCCAAAAGAATGTCAACGCCATGATCCTAACCGGCTTTGCTGGGTTGTTTGCCGGTGCTTGTAGCATGGCCATAGGGGAGTTTGTTTCTGTGTATTCTCAACTAGACATAGAACTAGCTCAAATGAAGAGGGACAAAACAACAGAAGGGCAGAACCAAGAACATCAACAACAACAAGAAGAAGGCAACAAGGAGCAGCTGCCAAATCCATTTCAGGCAGCCGTAGCCTCAGCTATTGCATTTTCACTAGGTGCCATTGTGCCAATTCTTGCTGCTGCATTTATAGCAAATCATAAGGTGAGGCTAGCTGTGATTGTGGCTGCAGTGAGTTTGGCATTGTTAGCATTTGGAGGGATTGGTGCTTTTTTGGGCAGAAGTCCAATGCTGAAATCATGTGCCAGAGTTTTAATTGGTGGCTGGATGGCAATGGCCATTACCTTTGGCCTTACCAAACTGATTGGTTCTACTGGCATGGAGACGTGATTCGAACTTTATGGTTCCTGTTCCTTGTTCTAGTTTCAAATTATCTGTTTAAGAAATTTCTGCTGCACTGTTGACTAAATTTCCTGACTAAGACTAGAATAAATGCAAGACATATCTGTGTTATAATTCTGCTGCGAATGCTTAAGAATGGTATTGCCGCGTTCTCCGAATTTTATATCTGTTGGAACGGAAAGACCAACTATAACACAAAATCTTCCTTCTGTATGCTTGGTTGAAGTTTTTGGTAGCGGCTTGCAGTTAAGGTGAAGTAACATGTTATAGAACTTTTGAACCATGTTGCTATACTTCTATTTTCTTTGGAAACACACTTTCTACCATCACTAGGTAGGGGTAAAGTATGCGTACACACTGCCTTCACCAGACCCCACTTGTGATAATATACCGAATTTGTTGGTGGTGGCGTTGAACCATGTTGCTATGTGCTAGATGAGACATCATTATCACCTGTGACAATCTAAAATTCAATCGCTTAAGCACTTCGAAAACACTTGGAGGTAGTATTTTATAAAATTTGAAGTACTCTATTCCATAAGCACCACGATCCCAAACATTGCTTAGCTACTTGATGAGGAATTCAGATGACAATTCCAAAAACAGTTTTTGGACTGGATGTTTAACATTTACTTCTATGTATATGGTGCAATATAGGAATGCTCAAGTTATGCAATAATGACTAGGAGCTCCTCTATTTTACTGAAATGAAAGAGAACCCTATCAACTACACTTCATTATCGGAATAGAAAAATATTGCCAAAGGTTCCTTCAACTTCCATTCCATCTTGTTCTCAATATTATGTCTTTATATCTTGAAATATAAAAGAAGCTATATTGTGTAATGAAGTTTACAAAAACTTCGATTGGCAGATATATAGGGCAGAGATCAAGATGAATCAAGGCACTTTATAAGGACCACGTCAAAACTGGCAGCCAAAAACACGATTATGTACTAATTAATACACCTACCTCTTATTCTTTTTCTTTTTTTAAATGTTTTGCATACCTCTAATTCTCTCATCCATAACTTTATCACAGATAGCAGACCACAATGAAAAGACAAGGATAACTTGTAAAAATAATACTTCAAGAAGCAACGGAATACGAAGAACTAACTAGAGATTAAGAAAAAGGGCAGAGAGAAGAAGTTAAAAGAAAATGATTCAAGAAGGGAAAATGATTCTGTACTAATTAATACCTCTTATTCTTTTCTCTTTTCGTTTTTTTTTTGATTGGTTTGCATATCTCTAATTCTCTCATCTATAACTTTATGACAGATAGCAGACCACAATGGAGACAAGGATAACTTGAAAAATAATAAGCAACGGAATATGAAGAATTAGCTACAGATTAAGAAAAAGGACAGAGAGAAGTTAAAAGAAAAGCAACAGACAGAGATATTTCTAAACATGAAAACAAGTAGCTATAAGCAAACATAGAGACTCCCTTGATTAAGCAGATACTTTGAGTGCCTTAAGAAAATCAGGGTCAACGTCTTAATTCTATATCATCATCTCTGAAGAAATCTTCTGCAGTCTTTCCTCTTCGTCTTCGATATCATCATAATGACGTTCCTTTAACTTTGCGGCCTCCACTCTAACCCTAGCAAACATTTCTTCAGCCAACAGCCTTAACAGTAAGAGAATGGGAACGACATTCCCAGTTTCACAAACTCAAGTGTAAGATCAGCAGGTGTTGCAGCACTCTTAGACAGACTAATCAGATGAGGAACATCCGCAAATCCGAACATCAATCTCTCCCAAGCCCACTCCCCTAATACATAGTGACACCTCATTTTTTCTAAACTTTTATACTTCTATTACCTCCCACAGTAACATCTTGTTTGGATGGTTATTATGTACGTAATATATTGCTATCTCAGAAAGCCCTACTTCGTGCAATGAATTGTTTCTAATAAGTTTACTAGAATATTATTAATTGTTTTAAATGTTATATTTATTAAGAATTACATTTAAGAATGATTTAAGGCAAATTGCCAGCAGTAGTAAATTGCAGTACTTAAAACTAGAGCAGAGAGGGCAGATATGAAGATGAAACAAGGCACTTTAAAAGGACCAATTAAAAATTGGCAGCCAAAAAAAAAGGGGAAACTAAATCCTGGAGAAAAAATGACAAGTTTTTCATACAAGTTATAACCCTCTATCTTTCTCTTTCATGCTCCTTCATAGAAGAGAGCAATACCTTATCCAGCCCATTTCTTTTCTTTTTTTTGCAGAAAAAAGAACAAAAAATGAGTGTATAAGCAATGGCACAGACAAGATCTAATATTACATATGGTTGGTTTATGAACTATAGACTATTAGACCGCATGCATAAGGGAAATGGATCAGAAGCTATCGTCAGATCAAGAAGTTCCTAGCACAATATAGAGAACGCAAATCAAGGGGGAAAAATATTCCCAGCTCCAAAACAATCACTTGAATGTAAGGCAGCAAAAGAATGTGCACAACTAGAAAGAAAAAGAAATATTAAGACTCAAGACACATATCACCCTTCAATGCACTAGTGACTCAAAATAGGCCGAAGTCTCCAACTGGAGTTCAAAAGCAGAACCATCTGCCAAGTAGAAAGAAAAGATACTAAGAACCAGGAGCTCATTAGCAAATGAAGTCTTGCTGTATTGGTTTTGCACTCATTTGGATCTTGAAAACAGACACCAGGACTACAAGAAAAGAACAAGAACCATCCCCGCGAAATAGAAACACCAAAGCAGAACAAATTAGTGGACCCATATTGCTGAACCCTCCAAGAGTATCTAAACATCTCGCCATCTAACAGGAAAACTAACTCTTCCACCAACGATCTTTCCATGCAGAAGCATTCTCTCTCTTCAAAATGCTTTCTCAATTACAAATTTAAATGTGCACCAAAACTAGCGAGATAACCAATCATGTACCCAAAGAAGGACAAAGGAACAAAATAGCCTGCCAAAAGGTTAACAGCATTAATATCATAAAAGTTGAGAACTTAGAACGGACTAATAGAGGGTAAAATGGAATAAATTACCCGGTTAACTCCCATTAACTGTTAAAGAGATTTTATAAGAACACATCAAAGGCCACTCCTAATCCAGCTCTAAAATTCAATTAGACATGAACACCTGCTGGCCCAGATTTTTGATCACCAGTACTAAATTCAGACAATTCATCAGACCCATCAATCACAAGGCAAAGTTTCAGAGGTGCGATTGTCATGCAAGAAATCATAACAAATCCAGCACCAAACAATGGTTTTCAAAATTCCAAACCAAGTGAGCAAATAACTAGCAACCATAGTGGCATTCGAAAGTGTGAGGCCATAGTCAAATTTGCAAATTAAGCAAGCATAAAGATCCCGATCAAGCTGTAATATCAAACATTTACGGACATAGAACAGTAGTTTATAAGAGCCAGGTTTCATGAGCTCAAACGATTCATCCATTTTGTTGGCTCAGGCCAGGGGAACAGCACCAAGTAGACATACATCAAATCACTTGCATCCAGCTGGTAGGACTTCTAACTCTTCAGCTGCATCAGAAATAATCAAAATTTAATCAGCTCAAAAGTAAATGATACCCTGAATATTGGATAACTGAAAATCAAATAGCCTAAAACCTACCACAACTTAAAGCATCAGCCAGCTCGAGAGCTTCCAGAACTGCGACGTTCGTATGGCCCAGAGCGATCACGGCTAAACCGTTCACCTCCTCCACGACCACCACCATCTCTGCTGCTGCGGCTTCCATATCGATCTCCGTTCCTATCGGGTCCATAGCCACTGCTTCTACTACCACCACCTCCGCCACCATGCCGACCACCTCTACCCCCTTCACTAGGGCATTCTCTGGCAAAGTGTCCTGGCTTACCACAGTTAAAGCAGTCTCCACCACCACCAGATCCCCGCCCACCTCCATAATCACGGCTACCACGATCGCGATCGCGACCCCGATCTCGGTCACGGTCACGAGGTCGATCACTATCAAAATCTCTACCTGAACCTTTGTCAGGCTGGGCTTTGTCTACAGTAATATCACGACCGTCTAAGTCCACTCCATTCATTGCTTCAATGGCATCTTCCATTGCTCTCTTTTCATCAAATGTAACAAAACCAAATCCACGAGATCGGCCAGAGAACTTGTCAAGTACAACCTGAGCCAAAAAGGATAGAGGCATTGGAATATTGAAATTTAACATCCACAAAAAGGAAAGATAGAGTGGGAAATGACATAAGAAAAAGAGGAGAAACGTAGGTAGACAGTTGCAATTCTAACTCTTGTCATAGACTTCACAACACACAGAAACCTTCTAATGAGGTTCTGTAGTGAAGTTTGACAAAAAAAATTCACAATCAAGTCTATTCTCGCATCTACACCTTGATTAAGTTTGGTGGTAATACTTATGTGATGTAGTACCTTAAGCTACATTTTCATGAATTAATGGACTAATCTTCCTTAAGAGGTTTGGGGTTTTCTTTTTGGCTTGAAGAAAGCTCAATGGAAGCTGCAGATTTACAGAACTTTTGGTGGGCTAGCAAGAGGATTAAAACCTTTTCCAGAATCCCCTGACGATGTATGTGTGCATTCAGGGAAAAAAGATACTGATTTACCTTCATATTCCTCATTAGAAGTTGGGAGTGAGGTCAGGACTGAGGATTACAATGATATCAATGAAAGTGCAGATGTTGTAGCATTCACAGAGCAAGAGTAAGAAAAATTACTCAAAAGGTTTGAATTGTTCACGTAAAGAGGTTAAAAATAGGTGCATTGAGAGGCAAGTAGAAGGGAGATTGCACTAAAGTGGTCAAAACCCTCACTGTCACTTGAAAGGGAAGGAGGTTTGCAGGTAAGAATGGTCTAATCCTAGTCTAAAGGATGGGGAAAACTTCTTCGCATAAATGATCCACCCAGCAAAAACACACGAAAAACAACAAAGAAGAAAAAAGTGAAGCACCAAAAAAAAAAAATCATTGACAAATTAACCAATTCGAAAACCTAAAAAATAAACCATCCTTACCTTTGCATCAACAAGATTTCCAAACTTCTCAAATGCATCTTTTAATCCTCGATCAGAAGTTGACCATGACAAGTTACCAATAAAACAGCGATATTCATCGTCTGCCATTTCTGAAACAGACCACTGCTACTGAAAAAGAAGACAGAACAAGAGAGATGGGAGAGAGAGAGAGAGAGAGAGAGAGAGAGAGAGAGTCGAGAGACACAAAAAGTGCACCGAAAGATTAATTCCGTTATGATAATAGGGCCTGCTTATGTGGATTATACTATCAGATCCATTTTCTGTGCCCCCAGACAACAATAGCATTAGACAAACAAGCCAAGCAATCAAAATAATCATCAACCGTATATGATTCAAAATACAGTTCCACTTAACAAATATAAAACCACACTATTTTTACTACTATTTTAGGTTTTATCAAAAAGGAATATCACTTCATCATACTCCTCTATGCAGTCTCTTCAATACTAGTTTACTGCTTTTTGTTACAAAGTTGTGGGGTTTGAAACAATTAGTTTATGTGTTCTAATTGTGAAATCAACAATATAATTCAACAATCTAAGCAGAAAGCTCATCAACCAACAAAATCATACTGTAAAACCAACTATTTGTTAGACACCAAGAAACAAACTGACCCCTGCCTAAGCATGAAACAGGGATGATTTTTTTAAAATGTGTACAGAATAATCATATGCAAACATGAAAATAATTCACAAGCCCAACCATTCAATCACCACCCCCAATTCAGTTAAAAATAGCCCATCCCCATTTAACTACATTAAGTATTTAGTATACTTTCACCAAATTAAATTATGCACAGCACAAAATAGCCAAAAATATATAACATTAAAAGAACAAAGATATTTGAGACATTCTTCAACTTTAAGCATGAGGTGGATGCTTTATTTAATGATTAATAAGAGAAATCCATTAACTTTTATCGACTCATAAAGTACAAACTGAAACATAATAACAGTACAGAAAATTGCTTCAAGAGAATATATATCAAGAAAAGAACATGGGTCTGTCAATTTAACATTTTCATGAAAACCCAATTCATCAATTGCCCCAAATAAGCCATTATAGCTTCAGAATTCACAAAACGAATTAGATCTTCGAGACAGTCTATGCGAAAATTAAATAGTAAGAAACAAAAGATGTAGATACTGGATAACTAGAAATAAATGTTACCTTTGGAAATAGTGAAAATTCGGAGATGAGAGAGCGGCGACGCTACGAAGAGATGGAGAAAAGTTTTAGTAGCGTTTACTCCAAAGAAGAAAAGCCAATCCGAAGGGAATATTAGGGCGTGTTATTATTTAAGGATAGAGGCGAGGGGGCTCACTGTGTATTTGTGGGGAACCCTACCTTTTTTTTCTTTTTTTCTTTTACTAGGCACCCTACTTTTAGCTAGCGTTTGTACATAAAATTTGAAAAATAAATTTTTTAATATGTATTTAAAATAAAATTAAAAACTGCTCTATAACTATTTTAAAATTTGAAAATTTTGTTTTTAAAATTTGCCAAGAAATGGTTACAATTTATAAACAAAAAAAAGTCCCAAATTTTATTGCGAAACGGAAGTCTAATAACGTTAATGAAAATATTTTAGTCATTCGTTGTTGTTTGATTTTACATAGAGGATGTTTTTTTCTTAAAAAAGGGAGCAATAATTTTTTAAAATTATGAAATCATCTTCTTTTTAAGAATCTTAATTTTAATTTCATACAGTATTATTTATACTAACTACACTTAGATATCATTATTTATCTTAACCACACAAAATATTAATCAAACACTCTCTGGTTTGACTTTTATAATTTATAATGCCTATTTTTTTCTAGCCAGTTTGTATACTAGCTAGAAAAAGTAAACAACGAATGAGCTGGCTATTTGTATAAAGATCCCATCAAAGAATGTCCTTTCATTTACTTTTAATTTCCATCCTCTTCCTGGAAGTGTTTTCACTAATTCAATTTTGGGCGGATCAACTAAAGGGGTAAAACACTCAATATTGAGATGTTCTATATATTCTCATAGCTCAAATCCGAGAAATTTATATATGTGTAATCACTTCCTTGGCTATTGATTGATACTCAAGGGCGGAGCTAGGTGGGCAGGAGGGGTTCAGTCGAACCGCCTTTGCCGAAAAATTATACTGTATATATAAACCAAAACAAGTTAGAAGGATCGAATTATGTTGACTGGAAAAAGGAACCTTGATATTGTCCTAATTGCTGAAGGTTATAAATTTATAATCACTAAGGAGTGCCCAGAAAAAACTGATGAAGATGCCACTGATGATCAGGTTAAGGCCCATGGCAAATGGGTCAAGGTTGATGAGATGGCGCGATGTTACATTCTTGTCTCTATGGCGAATGTTTTGCAACATCAGCATCTGTCTGTGGGGTCTGCTTATGACATGCTCGAAAGTCTCAAAGTGATGTTCGGTGAGCAAACTCGTGCGGCTAAGCAGACAGCCATGAAAGCCCTTTTGAACACCAAAATGGCTGAAGGATCATCGGTCAGGGATCATGTTCTGAAGATGATGAGTCTTCTGAATGAACTGGAGGTCCTTGGAGCTATGATTGATAAGGANCAGACAGCCATGAAAGCCCTTTTGAACACCAAAATGGCTGAAGGATCATCGGTCAGGGATCATGTTCTGAAGATGATGTGTCTTCTAAATGAACTGGAGGTCCTTGGAGCTGTGACTGATAAGGAATCTCAAGTTGAGATGGTCCTGCAGACTCTACCTGACAGTTTTCAATAATTTCACTTGAACTATAATATGAATAAAATGGATTTGTCACTGGCAAAATTGTTGAATGAGCTGCAAGCGGTAGAATCTATTATCAAACATCAAGCTCCAGTTGTGGTACTGAATGTTGAGAAAGCTTCGGTTTCTAAGTCGAAAGGCGATAAGAAAAAGAATAAAGCTCAAAAGGTTTTGGCACTTGGAGGTGCGACTCTTGTGAAAAAGCCCAAAGGAAAGTGCTATCATTGCAAACAACCTAGGCATCACAAAAAGCAATGCCATGCCTATCTGGCAAAGTTGAATAAGCAAGGTAATTCGAATTTAAATGTCGTTGAAACTTATTTAGCGGTTGTCTCTATTATGTTTTGGTGTGTAGATTCAGGAGCCACTAATCATATCTGTACTACTTTGCAGGGGTTTCAGGAAATGCGGTGGCTAAGTGAGAATGAAGTTTGTATTTTTTAAGCCAATGGCGAGCCAGCACCAGCTTTAGCATTAGGAGATATTAGAGTTTCGTTTAGTAGTGATAGAGTTTTAGTTTTGAAAGATGTTCTCTATGTAACTTCTATTAGAAGCAATTTGATTTTAGTTTCGAAAATAATGGATGTTGTTTATAATATTTATTTTGCTAATAGCTCTGTTGTTATTAAGTTTAGTAAATATTTTATCTACACTACTGCTAGAGTACATGACCTTTTTATTCTTGATATATCTCCTCGTGTGCTACAACCAAAAGAATCAAATAACATTAATCTTCCACATAAAAGAAAACGTATTTCTGAATTGAGCCAAATTTATTTGTGGCACTTACGTCTAGGTCATATAAATCTAAATAGGATCTCGAGATTGGTTTCTGATAGACCTTTGAGTTCATTGAAAGTGGAGGCACTGCCAATATGCGAATCCTGTTTAGAAGGTAAAATGACCAAGAAATATTTCACTCCCCCCCCCCCAAAAAAAA